CCAGAAGTTGGCAGCACAGAAATTTTTAAAATAAATAAATAAAAGTAAATCGGTCCCATCTGAAGCCATCACTCAATTCAAGAAAAGGGTGGGTTGGGAGGGGCTGTAGCTCACTGCAAGAGCCACATTGGGGGCCCTGTTCTAAAACAGTGCCATCCTTTACTGGAAACAGTAAGTTCAAGTCGTTAGTTATTCACTGTTTTTCTCTTATTCGTATTGTCTTTTCTGATATGTTTAATTCTCTCTCTTTCTTACGTAAATACCTGAGCCTCGACTGTGCGACTGAACAAGAACAAGAACCTGAGCCATGATCTAGTCAAATTTTTCCCCGATGATTTCAGTGGGGAGTACATGATCTGAACTGTCTTCCATTGAAATCAATATGCATTTAAAGATCTTAACTTTTGGCTGTATCACATCAATGGATTTTTAGCATATTAATGTTTTAGTCATAGATATCATATATTGTGCAAACTGAATCACATTGTTCTCCCAGTCTGAATTGAATCTTATGTGCATTTACTAAATTTAAAGTAACAAACCCACTGGGAGCTCAGTTCACAGAACTCCCCGTGTCTAACTTGATCCTAACCACTTATAATCTGACAGTTTCTGGTTCGCATCTCTGCCCCAGTGGTAATTTCACTGCATTTGATCATAAACGGGCAGTATTTCCTTGCACAGCAGAATTTTTTTTAAATGGCTGCATGAAACTGGTCACTGGAGAGCCATCATGGTGTAGTGGTTAAGAGCGGCGGACTCTAATCTGGAGAACCGGGTTTGATTCCCCACTCCTCCTCCACAGGAAGCCTCCTGGGAGACCTTGGGCCAGTCACCATTCTCTCAGAACTCTCTCAGCCCCACCTACCTCACAAGGTGACTGTTTTGGGGAGAGGAAGAGAAGGCGATTGTAAGCCGCTTAGACAATCCTTTGGGTAGAGAAAAGAGGGGTATAAAAACCAACTCTTCTTTGGCTTCTTCTTCACATAATTTCCTTGTGTGGCTCAAGTGTGGTGTAGACATGCTCAGCCATGAAGATTGCTGGGGTGATATTGGCCCAGTTATAATTTCCCAGCCTCATTTTACTCCTCAGGTGAAAATCCCAAGTAGATCACTCTAGAAAATAACCAAATAAAGTACAAACTATGTTGTTGAAGGCTTCCACGGCCAGAGTTCATTAGCTGCTGTAGATTTCCCGGGTCGTATGGCCGTGATATTGGCATTGTAGGACCTGACATTTCACCAGTAGCTGTGACTGGCATCCTCAGAGGTATAACACAGAAAGATGGAGTACTCTCTGTGAGAGATTTTCTGGATAGGGATTTAAATTTCTTTCTAGCAGACAAGAGTCCAGCAATAACACTATCTGTCGCTGAATTTTTGACTTATGTATGGAAGTCAAGAGTAGTACTTTGTAAATCTCGTAAACCATGTTAGGATTGCTTTATATTTTGAGATATTGGGAATACTGGTTGACGTTGTTTTAATACTACCCCTTAAATTTTGCCTTTGTTCTGGTTTATCTGTGTTATGCCAATAAAGCTTTTCTGTTCTGAATACTCTCTGTGTCAAGGTGGGAAGAAAAATGGTAGGCAGGTAATTTATATCTACTCCGGAAGGTGGGGTAGGGCTGAGTCATTATCTTGTAGGAGTTCCTGGAGGCTATGAACATGCTAATAGAGGCACTTTCCTGAGGAGGTTCTTTTGTATGTGGATTGGCTGTTGAAATTCTAATCTTATCTGTAGTGCTGTTGTCAGATGTAGAGCCTTTTGTGTTTTTCAGGACAGGAAACCATGCCCTGTTTATTTTTAAACTCTCTTCTTTCCTGTCGAAATTGTGTTTATGTTTATGAATTTCAATGGCTTCCCTCTGTAATCTGACATGGTAATTGGAAGTGTTGTCCAGCCTTTCAGTCTCTTCCTCCAGCCCGGAAAACCTACAGCAGCTAAAGAACAAACTGTCACATTCTCAATAACACTAGCCCAACGATTAAAGCTATAAATAATAGTTGATAGATAAATGAACTAATCTTTTCCCCCTTCTCCCTTCTCTGCAGAAAATCCATGTTGTGTTTAGCATGTGGATGTATGAAAGATTTTGGCGGACCATGCAGATAGTCATGGAGATAAGCTGAAAATGAATGAAGACTATTGGTGCTTTTTTCCCCCCTGGCTGATGTGATGTAATAACCTGAAAGGAGATAGAAAGTCCCCGTAAACGGTCTTTGGCTGACATCCCCTCAAGTCTACAGCACATTAAAAAGAAATGACCACCCTCCTGCCAGAAGACACAGTAGAGTCCCAAGGCTCAGATGAGCTTGAATGCAAGATCTGTTACAACCGCTATAACCTGAGACAGAGGAAGCCTAAAGTCCTGGAATGTTGCCACAGAGTATGTGCCAAATGTCTCTGCAAGATCATTGATTTCGGGGACTCTCCTCAGGGGGTCATCGTTTGCCCGTTCTGTAGGTTTGAGACGTGCCTACCCGACGATGAGGTCGGCAGCCTTCCCGACGACAACAACATCCTCGTGAATTTGGCTTATGGGGGGAAGGGGAAGAAGTGCCTGCCAGACAATCCCACGGAACTCTTACTGACTCCCAAAAGACTAGCCTCTCTCGTTAGCCCGTCTCACACGTCCTCCAACTGCCTGGTTATAACCATCATGGAAGTACAGAGGGAGAGCCCACCGACCCTGAACTCGACCCCTGTGGTGGAATTCTACAGGCCCACAAGCTTTGACTCCGTGGCCTCCGTGCCCCAAAACTGGACCGTGTGGAACTGTACGTCCTTGCTCTTCCAGACTTCAATCCGAGTCCTCGTTTGGTTGCTAGGTTTGCTGTATTTTAGTTCTTTGCCTTTAGGGATCTACTTACTGGTATCAAAGAAAGTCACCCTCGGGGTAGTCTTCGTCAGTCTCGTTCCCTCGAGTCTCGTTATTCTCATGGTTTATGGCTTTTGCCAGTGTATATGCCACGAGTTTCTGGACTGTATGTCTTCTTAAATAGCACCCGCAACGAAACAAGCAATGAAAATGTGAAATTGCCATAGATGTAGCATAGCTCTTTTGTATTCTTATTTAATACCATTGTCCGTCAAACGAAATAGGAATGACGACCACAGTTTTGTGGTCCCATTTGTTGTTCTTTAAGCATAATTGAATGATACTCTTATACTCTTGTCTTGTTTTATTCACAAACTTAAACGGTTTTGAAAAGACTAAGCAATAGGAAGGGATGAGGCAAGAACAATGACCTAACCAGGTGCCTGATCCTACAACAGAATAACCCTTTATTTTCCAGTGGATTACTCCTAAAGGAGTACAAAGCTTGACCTACTGGAACCGTTTCAGATGAAATGCCTGTTACGTGCTAAACTATCTCTTACTTCCACTGGTGAGTAACGTTGCTCAGGGAGTTAATGCACTGGGGAGGGCCACTTCACAAGCCCTGTTGCCACTGTGGAGGAGCGGGTATTTAATAGGACAATTGGACATGCTGTTGGTGGCGGCTCATAGACCCCAGTGGATTGCACCTGTGGCATTAAAATGTACATAGAAAACAGATGTTGCCACCGTATTAGACATTTTTTTGTAGGCTCGCAAAGACAGAGTTTTTGACATTTTTTTGTAGGCTCGCAAAGACAGAAAGAGTTTTCGAAGAAGGTGGTTGGTTTCTAAAATTCAAATCGATTAGACAGGTACAAGACCACAAAAGGAAGGCATCAGTTTTCCAGATGGGTGACCTACAGGTATGCAGGAATGTATTTTTTTTCCCCTGTTTACTTTTTAAAATCACCCTGTCAAAAGCATTATGTTTGTCGGAAGCATCACAAAGCCTTATCTCTGACAGAGAGGTGATCTCCAAAGAAGCTTCTGCGCTAACAGCAGCTGTCTTTTCCGTGTGCAAGAAAAACCAAGCTGAGTCCAGATAACAGTTCTTCCGCATGTGGCACTGTGGTAGCATCATTATTATGCACATAGTTTGTGCGAGGCCTTAAATGATTCCAAACCCAACTTCCCTTCCATTCGTGACCCTCTTTGTATTGTAATATGCATACCTAAGCTAAAAACAAAATAGGATAAATGTAGGAAAATGTTGTTATAAGGAGTCTGAGTGGGGGGGGGGTTTAAAGCTTTCCCAAAAAGATAGATTTGGGAGAGGAATGCCACCGTCTCCAACGGAGCTTAAGGCTTTCAGACATTTTCTTCTGGAGCCAAACGGCATTGCTTTGAAATCTCAACATCTGGCAGGGAGAAAAAGAATCCTTCAAAGCAGCACTCCACCAAATCTTGTTACCACCACTGGAAAATGTGGCTTCAAACTGTTACATCCGAGTGGGAGGATACATTTAACGTGTAAAGTGTGAAAAGTTGTGTTAAGATATACAATAAAGATTGCTGTTTTGTTCTGTTTTGAATAAGCTAAAATATTCATGTTTAGAAACCTTTGAGGACTTGACTACATGTGAATAGTGTTAGGGCAAGCTTGTAATGAGTCCTGACAAGAGAGAAAAAAGGCAAGTAGTAGCGTGAAAAAGATACTGCATATTAACAAAGAGAAACAACGTAATATGTCATATCTTCACACAAAACCTCCTCCGTTCCCATAGCAATACACGATTGCAAAAAACATTAACAGAATATGAGCAGAATCCAGCCTATATTAGATACTTTCAGGTTTCACAGATTCCAGTGGGAACATCTGAGAGGAAATTGAGCAAGTGTTTAACTCTCCCGCTGAAATCAAAAGTTCCCAAAATCCTTAACTTTGCCAGGATCGTGCCCTCTATTATTTTTCCAGGGTCGACGATACATTACAAACCAGTGGTTTAAAGAAAAGCCTGTCGTGTCCAGCACTTATAACTAGCATTAAAAATGTTTTAATAGTCCTTAGAATAATATATTACTATTATACTTTAAAAGTGCTTGTGATACACAGCATGATCTGGCATCGCTGGTTAACAGTAAGACCACAAAATGTAACTGACTCAGATGTGAAAAGTCCATCCAACCAAGATTAAAAAAAAAATGTTTTGTATTATCTGTAATGTTTGTAATAACTCGTTTGTGTGTGCATATGTTAAAAGGATTTATATATTTGTAGGGAGTTTACATTCAGTTTGTCGAAGCTGTCCTGTCTCCTAATAAACGGGTTTCCTCTCGCAGGATGAAACGTAGGTGAACGTGTGCCTTTTCTGAAAATGTTTGTGAAGTGTAATGGAGTTATATCTCGTGCCTCTCGTGGGGTTATAATAACAATTGATTGGCACAGTAATGAGATAATACGGAGAACAAGAAAAACTGTGAGAAAGTGACGCTTAATGTATGTCTTTAAAGAATCATAGAAAAGTGAACAAAAATAATGTACATAATCATAGAAAAATATATATTGACAGTGATCTCCGGAATGTCTTGCCATTTCGAAGGAAGATCTTCTTCTGAACAAAGATGTGGGGCAAAAACTGTCTCTCAATAGTTCATATCCTCTGGTGACGTCTCACAATTATCAAAGAAGATTTTCAGTAATCATACCAGCTGTAGTGTATAGTAGAACCTGCCATGGGCTAAGATGATTGTAATGCTATCATTACATTGAGAGACAGTTTTTGTCCCACATCTTTGTTTTGTGGCTGGGACCACCATGCTGGGTCAGAGTTCCCAAAATCCTTAACTGAGTTAGTGTGAGCCAGCTCACAGTTTTTTAGCCTCCAGCTCATGTATTTTTGTCTTAGCTCAGGTCAGATGTCTCTAGAGCAAACTTATTTATGCCGTAGCCAAATCGCTCGCTCACAACAACGCCAGTACCTCACAAAGCAGATTTTTTGCTCACGAGACTCCACAGCTTAGAGGGAGCATTGTTGGGGGCCCCTGTATCGGTAGTAGTACTAAAAGCACAATGAAAGAAATATAAAAAAGGAGACTGTGGCCCCGATCACACGCAGAAGTTGCCGCGGGATACTCACGGATGCCGGGCGGGTTTTACGGGCACGATCAAACGGGCACATCCGGCAAGCGTCGCACACCCGTTGCCAACCTGTCGCGTCCGGCTGAAGATCCGGAGTTAAAAGGTACCGGAGAAAGTCCACTATCTCACGCTTGCGACGGGCCGCAGATGGACGTCCTCCGTCTGATCGCTTCAGCGCACTCCCCTCGCTGCATTGAAGCGCACCGGAAACGTGCGCCGATGAAACGAAACCCTGATTCCCCGCCGTTGTGTCTGATCACGTTCGGGCGGGTCAAAGTGCGCCAGCGCAAAAAGCCACGCCTCCCCCCCCGCGTTATTTGGCCCATGTGACCGGGGCCTATATCAACAATCATGGCCACTGCCGTAGGCTCCCTAGCAACCATGTCACCACATACCTGTCATGGCATTGCTCCCAGGCATGCAAGCTTACCAAGATGTAACAGCAAGACCACTAGTATGACCTTGCTTTATTTGAAACATTTGTATCCCGGTTTTTGCCCATTTAGGGCCCTCAAGGGAGCAAACAATTAAAAAGGCATCAGAAATCAACTTTTTTAAAAGTGTGCCATGCGAACAATGAACAGTTTTAAGAGTCTGGCTGGTAATAGTGTTTTGTGACGGACAAGGAGAAGAGTTAATTCTTTCACAAGAATCTCACAAAGTGCATTTTGTAGGCTTTTGGAGGATCATCTCATCAAATATACGCTCACGGCCCGTTCTCATAGGTGCGATTATCATCGCTGTATTGCTCAGTAGGAACGGTCCCTAGAGGAGAAGAGATTGGATTTCTACCCCGCCCTTCACTACCTGAAGGAGTCTCAGAGCGGCTTACAATCCCTTTCTCTTCTCTTCCCCACAACAGACACCCTGTGAGCAGTGTTCCCTCTAAGCTGAGTTAGTGTGAGCTAGTTCACAGTTTTTTAGCCTCCAGCTCATACATTTTTGCCTTGGCTCAGAAAGGACGGCTCCAGAGCAGTCTTCCAGTACTTGAAAGGCTCTCATATAGAGGATGGTGCGGAGTTGTTTTCTGTTGCCCCAGAAGGACAGACCAGAACCAACGGGTTGAAATTAAATCAGAAGAGTTTTCGGCTAAACATTAGGAAGAACTTCATGACAGA